AAATTTAATAAATTTAAAAATTAATAATTATATTTTTTTATTAATAATTAAATAAAATTATTTTAATTTTTTAAAAATAATTAAAATTATAATATTTATTTTATATAATTAATAACTTTATTTAAAAGTACTTTTTAATAATAATTTTTTTATTTTAATTTATATATTTATATTAATATATTAATATTAAAAAATATATATTATAATATATATTAATAATTTTTTTTTCAATATTTTTATTAACGTAATATTTTACTTTATAAAAATAAATTTTAATTATATAATTTTATAATTAATAAAATATTAATTAAAATATTAATTATTTAATTATAATAACTTTAAGTTTTTGTAATAGGATTATATAGTTATAGTTACTTTATATATAACCTTAGGCTTTCGTTTAGCTTTTTTTACCTTTTTGCCTACAAGTCCTAAAAGGAAATAATTAAGTTTCAGTCTTACAATACCAAAACACTTATATTTTTGCTATTTGCTTAATTTACTTTGTATTCTCTAACAGTTTTATTAATAAAAAATATAATAGTAGTTTAAAATATTTTTAAAATATTTTATTAAATATTTATTTTAAACTATAATATTATAATTTACTTTTTATAATTTTAATAATAAGCTAATAAAGTAAGTAATAATAAATAATTATTATTATAATTAATTAATTATAACTTAAATATAACTTAATAAAAATTATTATTAAATTAAAATAAATATAATTTAATGTAAATTATTATTAAGTAATATTAAAAATATTTAGTTAATTAAATATATAAATTTATATTTACATTATTTATTTAAATAGCTTAAATAGTTAATTATTAATATAGTAATTAAATTAAATTAAACTACCTTTTTATTAATTCATTATAACATTGTTTATTTATTAACTTAATTAACCATTAATATAAATTTATATTATTAGTTTATACCTTTAAAACAGTTAACTTTAATTTACTATAGGAATATAATTTATTATATTTAAAATTAATTACTTTAAAATTAATTTTATAATTATTATATTTTAATTTAATTAATAAATTTATTTTAAAAATATTTTTAAATTATATTATAAATATTATAATAAAAATTAAACTTTATATATTAAAAGTAATTTTAAATTAAATTTATAAAAAATTTACATAAATTTAATTTTCAAATTATATAAAAAAATAATAATATTTTTATTCAATAAATATATTATTAATTATAAATATATTATTAATAAAAATAATTTATAATAATATATTTTTAATTTATTAATTTATATATTTTAAATTCTTTAATAATTAAAAAAGATTTTTTAAATTATAAAAAAACTTTAATAATACTTTATTATTTAAAAGTTTAGATTATATTATTAATTAATAAAAAAACTAAAACTTTTTTATTTTTTTTATATTTCTTTTATAATATTATATTTTAATATAATACTTTTGAATTTAATAAATAATAAAATTATAATTAATAATTTAATTAATAGTATTAATATTAACTTTTATTTCTTTTTATTTTCTAACTATTAGTTATATAACTTAGTTTTTTTAAGGGTTAATATACTTAATTAAATAGTTAATAAATCATCCTTAGTATTATTTTTATTATTATTATTACCTTTAAGTTTAATTTTTAATCTTAATTTATTTATACTTTCCGATAGCAGCTTACCTAAAATAATATTTGTTTAGCCTTTCCTTAAGCTTTTAGCAAAGGTTCCCTTTTTGCTGCAAAAAGATACAACTTATCGTTGCTAGGAATAAGACAGTGACCATTGTATGCTCCGCTAGGCTGCGGTGAACGGCGTAAACCTTGGAAAATGGCTTAATAGCTGGAAGGACTACTGTAGCCCAGTGAGCCCACTGTTCTCTATTTGTGTAATGCGCTGATAAAGCTGTCCCCCCTTCAACACCACTGACACCCTTATCTCAGACTTATATACAGTGGGGAATAAGTAATTCCGAGCTCAAGTCGCAGGCGGCCAGGATCTGAGTAGCTCGAAATTACACGTATGTGACTGTAGGTAACCCTACCGTCCTCCCCAATAACCTTTAGCGACCTTTAAATTAGGCGACAGTGGCCACTCTAAGCTGGCTTCGCCGCACTAATATAGACCTGCTAATGTCAAACTGCCAATAACTAGTTGCCCCCGTACTCTTTTTCGCTATCGCTTATCTAGCTATTGTTGTTTCTAGTCTTCTTCTCTATAGGGAGTGGCATTAACCTTCTCTTGGCCGGGTACCTTTAGTATCTTCTGTGGAAACAGCCACAGTCACAACACAACTCGCCTTGTTCTTTGTTTCTTGCTTCGAACTCCCCTTAGAACGCCTTGCTTTCAATCTACTTTTTCTTTTTTAAGTCTGAGTTTTCTCTCTTTCCACATATATTCCGAATCACGTACCTCACCACCATGGACCCCAGCTCATTTGTCAGTGGCAGCCTCTCTGCAGCAGATGCTACAGAACCTGCTGATATAGCTTTGTCGAGGTGGTCCAACAGTAACGTTAATCGTCCCAAATTATGTTTGTCCCCTAGTACAGAGAATCAACTTATCCAGGCAATACGATATGCTTCCGAAAATGGACTTGTTGTTGTTGCGGAGGGAGGGGGAAATGGCGCCTTTGTGCCTGTCACCGAGCAAACCCTATATCTTCGCATGAAACATTTTGATACATTGGAATATAATGAATCCGAACAGACTATCACAGTGGGTGGCGGCGTGCGAACCAGCCAACTTCTCCGTTTCTTGGCTGACCGAGGATCCTATACTGTGCTTCCAAGCAGTGATGAGGTTGGCATTGTAGGCTTTGTTTTGGGTGGCGGCGGTGTAAGTATATCAAATGTTCATATTGTCCCAAGCTTTTTTCTCCATACCGAAATGTTTTTCTATTCGAAGCGCTTCAAGTTTCATTTTATTCCTTATTTTCAATTTCATTGGTAGCAAAGAAAGAAGCTGATTTTATTTTCTACGCGCCCTGAAGCACCATTTTATTGGCACCAATGGTCTCGCAGCGGATAATGTAACTTCTATAAACATCATCACCGCAGATGCACAACCTCGTCAACTCAGTGTTGCTTCATCTGGTGATGAGCTCTCCTTATTCAAGGCGTTGATTGGTGCCGGCTTTGGCTTGGGCCTGGTCACATCTGTCACCATGAAAGTCTATCCATTGTCAGATTTAGACATGGACAACAATGAGTTTATGACTCGCCAACTTGTTTTCCCAGCTTCTGCTATAAAGCTGGTTGCGAAAACCTTTGCTTCCTTCACAAACCCACTTCCCAGGCTGAGTGTTACTCTAGTCGGTGCAAGAGCACCTGAAACGGGGCCGAATCCGGATGCACCATTGGTTATATTGACGGCGAGTTATACTGGACCTAAAGAGGAGGCCATGGAGGCAACTGCTTGTCTTTTTGACGACGAACTCGTCAAGGCCTCTTTTATGGAAGAAACATCTATGCTGCCAATTACAAGGCTGAACGACGGTGTGCAATCCGCCAATGTTGCTGGGGCTTACCGGGACATCAACGTCGCTGGGCTCAGGACGATATCAGAGGATACCGTCGAGGAGCTCTATGAAAAATGGTCGGACTTCACCTCAAAAAATAATGATGCAAAGCGAACATTCATTGCAATAAGTCGCTTTGACACGTCTTTCATGGAAAATCATCGTCAAGAAGGGGAATTCATTGGTACTCGGGATAGGGGAGTAGCTTTCATAACCACAACTTGGTTTACGGATGAAAATCTTCGAGACACGGTGGAAGATTTTGTCGCGGATATCAAAGCTACGGCCAGGCGCAATGATCCAGTTGTACCGAGAACTGTTGTGAATAACATGCGGCCTTCCACCAAGCTCGGCGAGCTATTTGATGAAGTCGCAGCCTCGGAAATAAGGAGAATAAAAACACTCTGGGATCCGGACAATCTATTTTGGAGTCCGTGGACCCGAGGATTCTAGGGCAAATGTACGGAGTAGGTGGGGGGGGGGGGATTTTTTTTTTTTTTTACACGACTAGGTGTGAGGTTTTCGAAAAACAGGATGTTTCTCAATACCAAATTTTGACGTCGAATAGCTATCAGCCATAATAAACGCACTTGAGATAAACGATATATTTTACCAATCCAAATCCCCGCCGTCGTACTTGTGAAGCCCAGTAGCATTCTCCCAACCCTCCACCTTGATATTGACAAGCTTGCCATTGATGTCCTCTCTGTTTCTCGACAAGACATCCAGCGTAGCTTTGGCAGCTGTTGGGCTATCGAGGTCCGCATATGGGCCTCCCTGATCAGTTTGAACCCACTATGAAAAGGTCAGTGGCTGTACAGTAATTTCTCTGTGCATGATGATGAGGGGTTTGTGGTGATTGATCAGAACAGTCTAATCCAGTACTTACTCCGGGAGACACGGCCACAAATGTGAAGCCTTCAGCCTCAAGCTCCAATGCGTACAGCCTGGTTAGGCAGTGGAGTGCAGCTTTGCTCACTCGATAGGCCGGATCTGGCGCTACCATGAACCGTTTTGCATATGTTATCGACCCCACGATAGAACCCCTATCCCAGAAAGAGCCCATGTATTAGTAACCTGGGATGCATGATTCGAAATCGGGGCATCAACTAAGCTTACATGTTCAGTACCGTCTTTAGAGTCCCTTCTCGTAGTAGCGGTAGGAGCGCCAGGGTGAGATTCTGTACAGCCACTACATTTACGTCGAAAGTCGACAGTAGAGTTGTGGTGGCTGTCACGCTAGTAGGAGTCGTGTTGCTGACAGCGACATTGTTGATGAGCACATCTAGGCCGCGCCCGCCGAGAATCTCCTTTACTTCACCTGCGACCTTGGTGACATTGGCTGGATCTGTTACCTCCAGTTGAACTGTCACAACTCGGCCTTGAGCCTGAGAAATGATCTCTTGAAGGGCAGCTGGAGCAGCGCTGCGAATAGTGGCAATGATGATAGACACCTCACTTGCTGGTTTGCTGGCCAATACCCTAACCATCTCAAGGCCAAGGCCACGGCTGGCTCCGGTTACAAGGTATGAAGACATACTTTCCTTTCTTGCTTCGGGTTTCAGTTTCCAAAAATAATAATAATAATAATAAAAATAAATAAAATAAAATAAAAAAATGTTTGCGCGCGCGGTAGACAGCTGTTTCTCGAAGTTTGTCTTGTCCGTCGAAATAATCACCACGCAGCAAAACGATCGATTAAGATGCTGGCAGATTTTCCTTGTCGATGTCGCTTAGAATAGATGAGGTGATGCGAAAGACGAACGAGTTTGTTGAGGAGATTATTAGGCGGAGTTAACGTGGCGGAGATACGGAAGGTGCTGGAGGTGTGTGGGGTGCAAGTGGTGAAAAAGGTGTAATGCGCGTATTTCCTCCGAGTTCAATTAGCTACAGACCCAATTTTGTTATGCAGCAAAGTAGCAAAACTGGCACGGCCGGTGACAGCAGTTTGATCTGCTTCACAAAGTACATAATTGTCTCTTATACTCCGTATTTAGCCAGTAAAATACTCACTGTAAAAATTGTTATACAGAGAAGTAGCATTGAATTGAAAGCCTCCTTCGATATAGCTGCAGCTAATTGAGCTAAAACAAAATTGTACGTACATAAGCTAATATACGACTATCTATTAGCACAGAAGGCTGTATAATAGCACTCCCTTACTAACACATTTTTTATTAACTTTTAGAACAGTAAAAGCAACTTTGTTTTTTTTATACAAAAATACTTGTTTTATAATTAAATATACTCCGTAATTTGTTCTTATTTTCAATTTATTTTAAACGCTATATAATTGATTCAAATATAAAAGTATAACTAGGTTAAAAAGCTTAAAAAATCTTTAAATTAAAAAGTTTTATACTTTATCTTATTTATTTATTTTATATTTTACAAGTATTTACAAAGCGTTGTTTTTATATAGTCTTTTATGCTAATAGATAGTCCCTTAGCTTAACGTAAGGTACATGCATTTTATGTTAGCAGCGCATACAGTATAGCTGATAGCTTAGATAGACTTGCATTACAATGATTGGTTTGACAAAATGGCGACTTTAGATGTCATGCTTCAGAAACCCCGGAGAAATCGGAGATAGCAAGATCTAAGTCCACTGCTGTTGGATGGACTGCTACGCTGGTGTCAGATAGCAGTGCGAACAGTGCGCCAATTCTGGAAGAAACCCAATATTCCTAGGGTACCTCACTAAACGTTATGCGTATCCAGGAAGAAACAGGTAAAAAGAAACGGTTTATGCGTAACGATCCTGCTATTGAATTAGCTAATTTAATTTTGGAATTCTAATCGAACCAGTAACAACATCTACATATTTCCAGCGGTAATAGTATTCCTCAAAACAACGATACTATCTCAAGTTAGACATTAGTAACGTGTTCATTCCGTTTTGCTAGATCGATCGACCGGATATGAACAAATCAGCAGCGATTTAGTAGACTGACGGACTAATCACCGCGCTACATGACTCGGAGTACCGAATCAGATCGGTTAGCGAGAGTGTGGGGATAAGTAACTTCTCAGTCTACTAGATTCTTACACATTCTCAAAGAACCAAAATCTATCTGGCTTTCGGCTTTCAGGTTTAACTATCCGAGTAGAGCTTAATCTCGCTTCTAAGGGAGATTCCATTAGCAAGGTGCGGAGTATACAGAGTGGGTATCAGGAAAATAAAGATCGCAAAACGAATACGTACATACACTAGAGCAATACGAGGAATAATACAATGCAGGGATACGACCACTTTGTGTGTGTATTATCATTATTTGTGTGCAGATCGTTTGACAAGTCTCGGGTTTTCTTGATACCCGCTTGGTTAGGTATGATTTTGCTTTTTGCCAAGAGATCTACTCCATGTGTTTGTTTAGAAACGTTGATATTGTACGTGGTTAACGTAGATAGATCAGAGTACGAGTTAATGTATTGCTGAAGGTAATGGGGACATCACCTATTGAGAATAGAGTGACTATGAGCTATCAAAGTAAATACTCACACCCCCTTAGAACCATGTATCTCAAGATGGCATTTGCACCCACCGAAAGCTGTCAAAGGTGTGTGATGTGTGACATTCACAACCCAGTTGATGCGTTTCCTGGGTGCGAGCCATGTCAATTGAACGGTTACCGTTACGACTCCTTGTTGCCAATAGTTGTCGCAGTAGTACTATTGAATCATACCCCAAAGACGTCCATGGTTCACCGAAATGCAGCCAAAGAGGTCTGTCCACCTGGATGACGCTCAATATGATGCTGTAAAGCAACTCCTCAAGGATTATAGTAGGGAATGTGGAGAGACATTGACTGTTTATGTGACTATAAAACCCTCACAATTAGCAAAATCGTGTGGTATAATTGTCCTGAATGATTTCAGCAGGGCAAATCTTAACCAGAATTTCGGTCTCTATGGTATTATATTCGTTTAGAGTTATTAATGAGTATTCCGCAGGATATTTAAAGTTGATCTTTGGTTAAGTGTTAACTAAATTTTTGGAATGTTTCGTTATTTTTTTTATAATGGAAAAGGGGGGGGGTTGTTAACAAAATATAAAATATATTATAGTTTTTAAAATATTTAACTTTTTAAAGTAATAAATAAAAAAAGTAAATAAACATTAAAAATATAAATAGTTTTATAAAAACTTTTTTAATTAAAAATATTATATTTTAAATTTAAAATCTTAATATATAAATTAATACTATTATTAAAAAATTATAAAAGCTAAATTTAATATTAAAATAAAAGGTTTAATACTATAATAGTTAGTTTAATAAAAGGTTATACTTTAGCCTTTAGTTTATAATTTAAAATTAATTTATAGTTTAATTTATATTTATTTATTTATTTATTTTATTATTAACGTCTATTAAATAAATTAGTTATATAAATCCTTATTTAAGTATTAAGACGGTAGAAGCTATAGTTATTTAAACCCTACATTTACTATATTTTAATTTAATAAAAGAAATAAAAGGGGAAATATTAATTTATATCTGTAAAAGAGGGGCTATATAAGTTTATTTCCTTTATTAATTTCTAAAAATCTTTATAACTTTTATAATTTAAAAAATATATAAGGTATATAACTTTAAATTAAAGGTTTTTTTTTAAAATATTTAAAAAAAAAAGTATAATTATTTAGTATTTTATAAAATATCCCTGGGTTTTAGGTTTACTATATTTACAGGTAGGTCTTATATTATAGCTAAACCTTTTATAGTATTTTATAAAGTTGCTGTACTTAGACCTTTTAGCTAAAAGCTTATAAAAAATAAAGTATAAAAGGTAAAACTTAAATAATATTATAAAAGTATTAAACTATTAATATTTATAGTATAATAAGGAATTACTGTTTTAATAAGCTTTTAATATTAACCTTTATTTTTTTTTTATTTTTTTTTTAATATAAGTAATTATAATATAGTTATTTATATATTTTAAAAGTTTTAAACCTTTTTTAATTAATTTATTTTTTTTTTTTATTATTTAATATATTTTTATATTTAGGGATTTATATTACTTTAGTAGTAATATATAGTTATAGTTTTTTAATTATTTTTCTTAAACTTATATATATATTTTATAATAATATTAATATATTTCTTAAGATTTTATTTATTATTATAAAGTTATTTAAGAAAAAAAGTATTTTTTTAATATTTAGGTTTAATATAATTTATATTTTAGTAAGTTTTATAGTTTTTAAAACTTTAATTATTTTTATATTATAAACTTTAATATTTATTAAATAATTATAAAATAAAGTAAATTTATAATTATAGTATATAATAATATTTTATTTTATATTTTTTATTTTATTTTATAATCTATTTAAATATATTAAAAGTATAGTTTAAGGGAAATCATTAAGTAATTTAAAGTATTTTTCTACTGTTTTAGCTTTAAATAAACTGTAAAAGTTTAACTTTATTAAAACTATTTTATTATTTTTAATAAAAAAAAAGGGTTTAATTATTTTATTAATTAAAAAAACTATATATTATAATTTAATTATAAAGATTTTAAATAAAAGCTTTTTATTAATATATTTATTAGTTAAATAGTTTTTATTTAGGTTAATAAACTTAATTAATATTTAAAGTTTTATTTAAGTAAATATTATAAATATAAATAGGATTTTAAACTTTTTATATATAACTGCTATATTAATTATTTTTTAAGCTAAGAGGACTATTTTAATTACTGTTTTAAAGGCTTTATTTATTTTCTTTATTAAGCTTAAGGTATTAATAGTTATTTATTTAAAAAGGTAAAATATATTTTATTTTTTATTTTTAAATTATTAAGCTTTTATATTATATAAAGTTATTAAAGTAATGTAAGCTTTAGCTATAAATATAATTGTATTTAAAGGGAAACTTTTTTATATTTTATTAAATAACTTTAGAAAATTAATTATTTTAAGGGCTTTTTTAATTATTACTTTTATATATTTTTTAAAGAAAAGTTTAAAATTAAAATAAACCTTTAATTATTTAATTAAGTTTTATAGTTTAATAGTTTTCTTTTTAAAGTTTATATTTTTTTTATATATTTATTTTTTAATATAGTAAAAGTAAATAAACTTTACTTTATATAAGTTAAAAGATATTATATTAAGTTATTTTTAATTTAAAGTATTTTAAAACTTTTATTAAAGTTTTTTAATTATTTTTTTAATATTAGCTTTAACTATAAAAATTATTATATTATTAATATAACTAAAGTATATACTAAGGTTTTTAATTTTTAAAATAAAGAAAAAGTATAATATAAAAATAATTAGTAAAATAAATAAGCTTTAAGGGGCTTTATATTTTAATTCTATTTTTAAAAAAGTTATACTATATTTATTATAAATTAATACTTTACAGTTATTTATAAAAAACTTAATTTACTTTATAAAAAATATAAATTAACTTTATTCCTTAA